TCGAGAGTCTGAAGGTGTAAGTGCACTAACTTAGATGGATTACACGATGGCTCATCTAGAGAACTTGCGTGATTATTCTCACTGCCCACCAAAGAAGAGGCCTCTTGCTTTCTACAACGCACAGGAAAACGGTGAGTTCGCGACTTAGTGAAAAGTGTTATCTTCAGAATTACAAGTGAAGAATATGAGGGATTGTGTTAAGAAAATTAAGTTTTTAAAGTGACTTACGAGATACTAGTTTGCATACGTGCTCTGTTACTTGATTACTGATACTGGTGAAAAATATATAGTGCAATTGTGCTTTACATTTAGAATAGAATTAATAATATCAGTTATAGTTTAACATTTCAACACATGCCAGCCATAGATCACTTGTATATTTCTCATAGGATGATAGATAATTTACGTTGGCTCTTCTAATAAGTTCTCCTATTAAAGTAACTAGTAATTATCCGATGACTTACCCGCCTTTTCTTCGCCTCCGCAGATGACGAACAGCCACAAGACCTAAGCGTCAAGCGTCGTCGCCATGACTCAGACCAGCAGGAAGTGTCATACTCCACCCCTTCTCCTCCTCCCGCCCGCACGCCCACACCACCTATGTCCCACCAGCCCACTCACGCCCCCGTCAGCCCGCCCAGAATGCCCTCCCTCGCCGACTTCTACCTGAAGCTCTTCCAGACGACGGCGGTGCAGCAGCAGCAGCAACAGGCCGAGTGGTGGCGAGGGCCGATGATGTGGCCCCTCATGCCGCCCGCCGCCCACCCCAGCCTGGCACCCCACCCCGCCCTGGCCTCACACCCTGGCCTGGCAGCCCGTCTGGCCTCCCCCCAGCCCTCGGAGGACCGCCTCGCCTCCCCTCGCTCCACGGCCTCCGAGGACTCCGGGGTCGGCACCGAATCTCTCAGCGAGGATGAGATCGACGTCATCAGTGACGCGGACACGTACAGGGCGTCGCCGCCCGCCTTCGACAGCAGCAGCCAAGAGCCTCCTCAGGCTCGCGGCGAGTCTCGTTACTCCTGCACGGAATGCAACAAGTCCTACTCCACCTACTCCGGCCTCAGCAAGCACAAGCAGTTCCACTGCGCGGCCCTGGGCGCCAAGTCCTTCGGCTGCAAGCACTGCGACAAGGTGTACACGAGCCTGGGCGCCCTCAAGATGCACATCCGCACCCACACCCTGCCGTGCAAGTGCCACCTGTGCGGAAAGGCCTTCTCGCGCCCGTGGCTCCTGCAGGGCCACATCAGAACCCACACGGGAGAGAAGCCCTTCCAGTGCTCGCAGTGCGACCGCTGCTTCGCCGACCGCAGCAACCTCCGCGCTCACCTCCAGACGCACGCCCACGTCAAGAAGTACGCCTGCGCGACCTGCCACAAGACCTTCTCCAGGATGTCGCTCCTCAACAAGCACACGGAGGCCGCCTGTCCTGCTCGGCCGCAGGCGCAGCAGGCAGAATGAGCGCCGCCTCGCCCCTGAGGATGCCCAGTGAGCCAGCAGGAGTGAGGTGGCCCGCGGTGCCGCCACGAGTCACAACCAGCGCGTCTAGTCACACACGTGCCACTGTACAGTCAAATCCACAGTAGCTAGTAAACTCCAAACTATAAAATAAAGATATATATTTTATTCTATATATTTTGTCTGCTTTATACCACCTCTTCATACAAAGGTCTATATGTCTTACGAACACACAAAGTCTTTATGTCAACTGACTGAAACTTTATAGACAATATAAAAAGAAATCGTTGCCTCTGCATGAATGAAAGATCAAAATAAAACCACACATATGGAACTTCACTCGTTAAAGTACTTAGAAATAGTAAAGAACATATAAATATTCTATTTATGAAACATATTAAATTAAATTCAACAAAGCAAGTTCCTCACAGTAAGTCAGCGGTGCTGAAGTTGAATAACATAATTAATAAAGAAAATGATACACATAATTATAAAGATCAATTCAAAATCTGCACGATTTGAAATGATAAGCAGAATAGCACATGAAGTACGCATGTACCTTCTTAAATTGCTGCAACACGTGCATTGTCTTCATTTATTCAATAAGATTACAAAAATTCCGTCGAAAATGATGTGAAAACTCCGTAGACACAAACGCATCACTCGGCTGGCTGAGTTTTCCCGCCAAAAAATTCCCGCCTTTTTCACGTGGTCGACGGACCTCCGTTTTCTTTCGCAGTTTCCCATTTTTTGTAGGTTGAGCGAGGAACCTTTTAGATATGATATAAAAGCTCTCCCCTTTTTCGTTGCTGTTGATGAATGATATTAATAATCATATATCATAGAACGCAGAATAATAAAATAACTAATAAGGGAATTATAGAATAAGCGGAAATTTCTTATCATTCTTGCCAAAATATTTTTAATCACGGGGACTTAATGTTTAATCTTCATACGAATAAGAAAAAAAAATCATATCTTTATGGTTTGACTGAATTTCCGAACACTGATAATATTAATCTGAAATATGTTCGAAAAAAATCAT